TTTGTGTGTTGTGCGATGCTATTCAACGTCCTGAATGCAGATCAGCTGCGATGTCAGATACTTCTCTGATGATGTCATTTTTTCCAACAGAGTGGCTGGGAAGCAGCAAGTAAAGAAAACCAGGGAAGACCTAAAGAATGCAGGAAGAGCTGTGAGGAAGGAGGCTCAGCCCCTTCCACCTCTCTCCAGCACAGCAGATGAGGAGGTGAGTTCGACTGGGTATTAGTGTGGCGGGTGCTGGACCATCTGACACAGCCATCAAATGTTGTTTGCAAAGCCTCAATAGATTGAATTCCATGCACATGGTAAAAAATGGAAGAGGATCTGTGGTGCCAGCAGCTCCTCTTATCGCTCCATAGCCTGCTCGTGTTCCCTGGCAGATAATCACCATGACTGACGCTTATCTGACACAGCCAATTTTGCTACCAGAATCTGCTTTCCGACCTTAACTGTCTATTGAGAGACATGACAGCTCTCTCTGCAATGGCACAAATGCTAACAAAGCTCTCCTAGGAAATAGGTGAGTTTCGTGGATGCTTGATGAAGTCGAAGCAAGATGCAATGAGTGCTCCAGAGAGCTGAATGGAGGGGCTGAGCCTGTGGCTGCCTGCCACACTCTTCATAGGATCCCAGACTGATTTGCATTGGAAGGGACCTTAAAGCTTATCCAGTTTCAGCCCCCTGCCACAGGCAGGGACACCTTCCACTAGAGCAGGTTGCTCCAAGCCCCTGTGTCCAACCTGGCCTTGAACACTGCCAGGGATGGGGCAGCCACAGCTTCTCTGGGCACCCTGTGCCAGTGCCTCAGCATCCTCACAGGGAAGAACTTCTTCCTTATGTGTTCCTAATAATGGTCCTTACTGGAGTCATTCCTGAGGTGCATTATGTCTGTGGGGATGGCTGTGCAGGGTTCAGGCTCAATAGCCAGGCTTCTCTTCCCATGGGGCGAGCACTGAGACCCTTGCATGGATCCCCCAGGGTAGGATGGGCAGTGACAAACCCCGCATCCCCCTGTGGGCATCCAAAGGAACACGTGAGCATTAACACATAGAACGGGCAAAGCTTGAATGCCTTGGCCAACATCCAACCCCTTGAGAAGGGCACTGCCAAAACCCACCTCGTGCCACCCCATCATCCCCCAACATGCGTGGCGGTTCGGACATGCCAAGGGGGGGAGCAGCCACCGGGATATGACGGCGTGCCAAAGGATCGCAAGGGGCTGGGAAAGGGGGAAAAAATCCTGGCATAGAATTTAAAATGTGCTCTAACCTTTTCTGCAAAGTGAAAGCAAGAAAAATGCTCATAAAACTGCTCTTTGTGCGCAGAGAGAAGTGCGTTTTTATACTGTTGCTAAGTTCCTTATTGTTTTCTGGCTGTTTTTTGTGTCTCTGTGGCAGCCTTTTCTGTGGGCCTCTTTCAGTGACTTAGCTATATTGGCCTGCAGATAATTAGATCAGTGCTATCATTTTCACTGTCCTTTTTCCTCCGGGGCTATTTGCATGATAATGGCAGTTTGTGCGAGGCTCTGCCTCCGTCTCCTTCTCCCTTTTAACAAGGCACCGTTTCTAAACATGAAATAATTCAGGACACAATTCTGCGAGTGGCTCTGCTGAGAAAAGGCTGAAAACATCTGGGTAAGGAAACATTTCTGGTGGCCAAAAATCCAACGTTTTGTTACCTATAGCTTAAAACCAAAACTCTATTGTTTTTACAGTGTTTTTAGCCCATATTTGTATGTGCTGTATGCAAAGCTCCTGACCACAGTGTATTCCCGCTCTGGGTATGGATGTACGTATAATGATTTATTATGTGTTTATCTAGATGCCTTGTAGACAAGGAGATACATGAAGTGGTGGGATCACTGTGACTGGAAGTGTTCACAATCTGCGTAGATGAGGCCCTCAGTGCCATGGGTTAGTGGTGACCTTGGCAGTGCTGGGGTGAAGGTTGGCCTTGAGCATCTCAAAGGCCTTTTCCAACCTGGTTGATTCTATGGCTTAAACTCTTAGTGAATCCTATGAACTTTTAAAGGGAAACTGAGCCTCATAAACTGGTTCTGAACCTCTCTTGCTGTGAACGTCTTCCATTCAGCAAGATATGCCCAAATCTAAGCATGACGGGAAACCCATTGAAATCCAGTGGTTGGCCTGGGTGGCTGACACGTGTGTTGTGATGATTCAAGCTCTGGGGTTTTCCATGTAGGAACATATCATAGCCAAGGATAGGCAAAAGAAGCGCTTTGTGCGGGAGCGGGGCCTCCTGCCATCCCCAAGTCCTGCAGAGCAGTGGCCATCTCAGCCTGCAGAACCAAAAAAGGCTACTTTTTGCTATAACAAAGGGGTCTTGGGACCTATTCCTGCTCCTGATGGGATTAAATTCCTTGCAGGGGAGAAAAGAAATGGTAAAATACGTAAAGTTAGGAAAATCAGTGCTGCTATGAGGAGATCATGGAATTTATTTGAGATTTGGCTTTCCCCACAGCAGCTCAACAAGGGGCATCTGCTGTCCTAAACTGGGGGGTTTTGACATGGATGTGTCAGATCTTCATGTCACCATGGCAAAAACATATCCCCGGTGCAGCTCCAGGTCTTGGAGGCCTCCACAGAGCAGCCCAGGACTGCAATGGATGGGAATAGAAAATCATATTTGCCTGCTTAGTTAAGCTTATTAAAAACTGCTTGAAGGTTCTTAATGGCCCATATCCAACAGGCAAGTCTGGTCAACGTTTTGATAACATTTTTAATTAAAAAAAAAGCAATTTAAAGTTCCACAATTGTACTTTTTTATGGAAAAATAAATTCTTCTAAAGAAAGGGGCCTATAGGGATGCTGGGGAGGGACTCTTCATTAGGGTCTGTAGTGATAGAACAAGGGGTAACGGGTTAAAACTTAAACAGGGGAAGTTTAGATTGGGTATAAGGAAGAAGTTCTTTACTGTAAGGGTGGTGAGGCACTGGAATGGGTTGCCCAGGGAGGCTGTGAATGCTCCATCCCTGGCAGTGTTCAAGGCCAGGTTGGACAGAGCCTTGGGTGACATGGTTTAGTGTGAGGTGTCCCTGCCCATGGCAGGGGGTTGGAACTGAATGATCTTGAGGTCCTTTCCAACCCTAACTATTCTGTGATTCTATGATTCTATGGTGGAAGCATCATTTAAGAGCTACCTGGAGTGGGAAAGAGGACTGAGCCCACACCATGGGAGAGCTGGAAGGATGAGCAGAGCTCATAGCTACATGGAGTTAGGATGCCACATGTCATATGAAGATCTTGGCATGGGGTTTCCTGGCTCAGAGAACTGGCTGTTCCTAAATGGAGGACAAAGAGAGAGGGACTGACTCCCCTGAGCCGTGGGAGTCCCTGATCCTGAAAATTAGGTCCCTTAATTGTGGTTATTCATCACTGGGTGAAAGTCAGTGGAAATGGGAACTTTGCTGGGAGCCGGACCAGGTCCTTGCTTCCGAGCATAAATAATGAGTGAGAAGGCTTCCTTGTAACACTGGTACCAAGCTGCGCATGACCACACACCAAACAGCACCCAGCCCTCTTTGATCCCCCCTGTGTTGTGGATGGTGCATGGCTGGAGCTCAATGCCTGATCAGTAGGGTTTGAAGAGCTCCTGTCCTCTCAAAGCCATGCAGCAACTCTGGGTCAGGAGCCATGAGCTCAAATAAACTGCTTCTTGTCGAGCAAACAGAGATGAGTGAGCAGCAAACAAGGCATTAGTTGCTGTTTGTTTGCATTTCACACTCTATTTCCACCCAGCAAAGCTCTTCCAAGCAGTGCCCTGCACAAGCCGAAAATAAAGGAATGAGTTTGACCTCAAAACCTTCTGCATTTACCTGCAGGAATGTCTCAGAGAGAAGATAAAACCCTGTAAATGCCAAGGAACACACAAGGATTGAAGAAAAACTGTAATATGAAGAAGTATTTCCGAATGATATGGAAAGTGATTTCCTTTCTTGGCCCTCTCAAGTCTTTGTAAACGTTTCCTCAATGCGTATTTCCAGCAGTAGCCAAGTGCTGGACTATGAGCAGGACTTAAAGAAGTTAAATTGCAATTTTACCCCCCAAAACCCTTTCCTGAAGAAAATACAGCTAACACTGCTCCTGACTGCTCCGTGTTTCCATAGTATGATAACTCAACCCACTGAAGGCAGCTTCAGTGAAGAGCTGAAACCCTGCTTCCATCACAGATCTGCACACAAGCCACAATAGTGTGAAGAACATAAATGTTTCTCCAACTAGGAAGCTTCCATAATGAAAACCAGCTACAATCTGCAACAGAGAAAGCAACACAAAGTTCTTTAAGCTGGTGCTGAGGTTTGTTTCCAGGTGAGCTGCCTCAGGAATTAGATCTGCACATGGTCCCTTCCCCATTGCATGCTGCTGATCTTGTCCTCAGGCTTCCAGTCTGGCTGCCCACAGGTAGATTTCCTTCACAATGTATCCTACCTGAAGTGCATAACACAGATGTGGGATGCTCTTTATGACTGTTCAGAGGAAGGAAAATGAGATGAAAGAGCTGATTCACCACTCAGCAACCTGGTTTACACTGGAGTAACCTCACTGAAATAAGGAATTCCACTCATCTAAACCAGGAGTGCAGTAGGCTCAGCTGAGGACTTTCCTATTTGTCCAGATGCCTAAATACATTCCAAGCCCCATGTGTGGTCTATGTGCCACTTGGGTCCTGCTTTCCTTTCATAGGTGAAGCAACCATTGCCTTATGAGCAACATGATTCCAGAACAGGATGCTGAAGGACTGGGCCACGTAAATGCCCAAGATTACAGAAAATGCTGGCAAATGGGAAATACATCTCTCCCTGATGAGTTTAAGAACTCAGTTTGGATACAGGGAAGGGACTGCATGAGAGCTTAAAGTGACACACTGTTTCTTTTCCAATTTGAAACCCTATGTGCTGTTTTTCCTTGCTTGTTTAAAATAAGCATAGAGAAAAATCTCAGGTTAAACGTTTAAAGTCCCCCTCAGACACCTGTGTTTAGCTCAGTGACACTCAGCTGAAACCCAGAAATCTCCAGTGGTATCTCAGAGCTCTGCCCAACCTGGGAAAGGACCGGGAGAGCCTTTGCAGGGTTTCCCAATGGAGCGATGATCCAGACAGCACAGCTTTGTGCTTTATCCTTGTGCTGCTCTTTCCAATGTGACTGCTTGAAAACACACATCGCCCACTCACCACTGCCAGCAGAACCACCAAAACCTGCTGTGCCCTTCCTTATGGAAGGAATGCATCCCAGAACGTGAAACACACACTGAGACTGAAAGAGGGAAAGGAAAACAGACCACAGCTTCCAGAACCTGCAAGAGGAAAGAGGATCCCAAGGATGCAGTCCTGTGTTCGCTAATAGTTTCCACCAAACAGCGTCTCTAAGAAGCCAAGACCATAAAGGAACTGTGTATATGCACATGTATGAACATGCATAATTAAAGGGGTCTACAGTGATTTAAGGCAGGTGAGGACTGAAGCTACACAAGCCACGCAATCTTGCATCTACACACATATACTAAATTTAGGTTAAGTGGCTTAAATTTGGCTTAAGCAGAATACGCCTTTCATCCCTCCTGATTTCATCGACTAGTTCATTGTCAGATGCTCTGTCTCTATTAGTGGGGAAGCAAAGCAGTGTGTTTTAAGATTTCTCCCACTGTTGCGAGTCCAAACTTCCTCCAGATTTTAGCTTGTTTGCAAGAGATTGAGTAAAATGAAGATTTTTTCCTTTTAGGTCAACATTTTCTTCTGGCAGACTGAGCCTGAAGTGCACTTTATTTCCCTTTAATTTAACAGCTCCAGCAGCTTTTCCAGTTAAATCGACTGTTCATTATTGAGCCCATTTATGAAGGGCTGTGCAGTGCAGTTTAATGAATCCCTGGCACAAAGCTCCCTTTCAGCGTAGGGAAAGAATAGCAGCCTATTTAGGTCCTGTAGGGCTGTATGTCAAAGGCTGCCTATAATACTTGTCAGGGAAGGGCAGAAATTCCCACTGATATAAGAATGTGCAAGAAATCAACTTGCACAACCAACTTGCCGATTAAGACGCGATCAGGAAATGAGTCTGTAGGTTGTGAGCAGTGACACCTGTTTGGGCAGCCAGATTTTCCCATCGCTCCATAACCATATGGGCCGTACAGCAGGGCAGGGGAAGGAAAAGTCCTGCTGTCCCTGTGGTAGAGATTTTCCACCCTCCTGATGCTGTGGTGGAAGGAAAATAGGTATTGGGATTGTGAGGGCTGGGCTCAGCGCTGGGTTTGCTACTATCATAGAGCCATGGAGTGCTTTGGGTTGGAAGGGACCTTCAAAGCTCATCTAGCCCCAATCCCTTGTGATAAACAGGGACACCTTCCACTAGAGCAGGTTGCTCCAAGCCCCGTCCAACCTGGCCTTGAACACTGCCAGGGATGGGGCATCCACAGCTTCTCTGGGCATCCTGTGCCAGCGCCTCAGCACCTTCATAACGAAGAGCATCTTCCTTATGTCAGCCTGAATCTGCCCTCTTTTAGTGAGGAGGCACAGCACAAGATGTTTCCTTCAGGATCCTAGTGGGATCCTGTCCCTGCGTTGCAGAGGGTTTACCCCAGTGTTGGACACTAAGATGGAAGGCTTGGCAAGAATCAGGAGGGCAGATTTCCCTTCTGCAACTGGCTCCAGTGAGGAGCTGCTGCACAAAATTGCTGGCACCATAACACGGTCCTGAGCCACGCAAGGCTTTCTTGTTTGCATAATCTGCTCTCTGCTTTCTGGCCCTCTTGGTCTGTAGGGATAACAAATTGTTCCACTTGTGAAGGGCTTGATCGTGTGGCTGCGAGCTCAGTTTGTGTCCTGTGCGAAGCACCAGTGAGCACGGCGTGTCCCTGCTCCCTTTGATTCACAGGGCTCCCTCTAAAGACACCGAGCTTGGTGCCAAGGGCATTGTCCTGGGAAGCCCTGGTTTAATCCCTGGAGCTGGTTAAGATGCTGCTGCCGATAGCGAGCAAGAAAACAAACAAAACCAGATGAATTTCCTACACCAAAGTGGACAAGAAAATAGCCCTGGATCCCCTTAGTGAGCACTGAACATGGTCCTGCAGGGTGGAGGGGTTGGGATGGGGAAAGCACTTCTGCAGCCACTTCACTCCCCTTGTTCTGATGGGGGGAGAGTGGAGGGACCAGAACATCTGCGTGAACATCTGTCCCAAACATCTGCCTGGGTTGGAGTTATTTTGTGGGTCTAATCCCATCACTTACTGGACATTAGACCTTACCAGCAAGCTGAGGAGGGCACTGATGGGTACGAGAGGCACCCTGTGCATCTGGAGCATCTTCATCCTGAAAGAGCACAGGGAGAAGATTTGGCTCATCCACCCCCTGGGAAAGAGATGTTTTGCAGGGATCACCAAACCACTATTTCCTTGGAAAAATGAAGTGTCTTTGCAAGTTGTTGACATCATGTGGCTTAGCAAATTCCCCTCCGGGCATCACCCAACTCAGGGTAATCAGCTCTGCTTGAGAGCACACGGAGAATAGGCACGTTTAATGCAATTATGAAGGCTTTCTGCATCTCCAGATCTGGTGGAGAATATGTAAATGTGGCTGCTGAGCCCAGCTGAATGCGAACTCCCCTCTGCATGCCCGGCAATTGTTTTAATACTCTGCAAGTTTTAGGAGGCAATAAAGTCTCTCACTAAAGCGTAGCTGAGCTCTCAAAGCTCTTTAATTGAATGAATTCAGCAGAGAAGCCAGGGGCTTTCAGCTTTTGATTTCTCTAAGCCACCGGATATTTAGCCAGTCTGTATAACACCACCCAGACTCACACCCCCCTTTAGACTGGCTATGAAATATTGCTGCTGTACCATTGCGGCAGATACCAACGTCAGGACAACTTAGTTGCTGTATTAGAGTTATTTCATGTTAAGAAATGGTTCCACACTGGCTGCACAGTGATCCCCATTTTCTAGTGGCCTCAAAGTGGATGCAAAACCACCCAGTGGAGCACACAGGGATGTATATGTTGTTCTTTATGTTTCCCCATCAGTGAGCGAGCTTGGAGCAAGCTGCAGAGCTTGATGGGGCTCAACAGGACCTGAGGGTAAAAACTTGGGTAGCTGATCTGTGTCAGTTGATCCAAGCCTGCAGCACGGGCTGGGGAGCAGCTCTGGGGGAAGGGACGTGGGCATCGTGATGGACCTAAACTCAATAGGAGTGAACAGTGTGCTGCTGCAGCAAAGAAAGCCAACAGGATGCTGGGGAACATCAACAGGGGCGTCATCAGCACAGATAAGGATGTCATTGTCCCACTCTGCTCAGTGATTGTCAGGCCACACCTGGGAAACTGTGTTCAGTTTTGGTACCTGTTGTATGAAAACAGATGTTGATGGGCTGGAAGGGTCCAGAGAAAGGCCACAAAGATGATCCAAGCACTGGGCAGTGCATGAGGAAAGGCTGAAGGAGCTGGGACTGTTCAGCCTGGAGAAAAGAAGGCTCAGGGGTGACCTTATCCCCATGTTCCAGCAGTTAAAGGGTGGCTACAGAGAAGATGGAGACTCCCTTTTTTGCAAGGAGTCACATGGAAGAGACGAGGGGTGATGGGCACAAGTTACTCCTGGGGGGATTCTGGCTGGACACAAGAGGAAAAACTTTCCTAATGAGACCCATCAGCCATTGGAACAGTATCCCAGGGATTCCCCAGCGTTGGACACTTAAGGCTCAGCTGGACAGCGTGCTGGGACATCCAGTCTGGGTCATGCTTTGCCAAGCAAGGTTGAAACAGATGATCCTTGCTGTCCCTTCCAACCTGGCATTCGATGATTCTATGACTTACACTCTAGCTAGTTAGTGCAAATCCACTTCCACTCATTCTCACATGGAGAGGTGTCTGGATTTCCCATAGCCCTTGGTCTACCAGGGTTTTCTGTTTCAATGACACGGTTGCACCCTGTGCATCTCCTCAGATAAGGGATTCTGGGAGGCTCCGGCTGAGCAAGTTTTGCATGAGCCCCAGCCCAGATGTGCCGATACCGGAGCCAGGGCTGTACTGGGACCGTGAGGCTCTGCCTGCCCCGGGGCCCTGCTGAGACCTGCCCAGAGGGACCAAGAAAACCAGCACTTTGTTTTGTAGTGGATTTGAAGCCTGTGTGTGTTTCATCCCATGGAACACATGCTTCCTCTTCTCTCCTCTTTGAAACACATGCTTTGCATTCAACGCGTGTTTGAAACCACAGTGACGTGGGTTTGGCAGATTTCTCCATTTGACCACCAAACACAGCCTTAGGAGCCTGTTCCTTTTTCTTCTGCAGAGATTTGCTTTCTGTTTTTTCCTGCTAACACAAACCTGCTGCATTTCTAATGAATCAGTGCAGGCCAAGAAAACTTTCTTTACTTCAGTCAAAATCAGATACGCATATGTATTGATATCTGGATATATCAAATCATAGAATCATCCCAGACTGGTTTGGGTTGGAAGGGACCTTAAAGCTCATCCAGTTCCACCCCCCTGCCACGGGCAGGGACACCTTCCACTAGAGCAGGTTGCTCCAAGCCCCTGTGTCCAACCTGGCCTTGAACACTGCCAGGGATGGGGCAGCCACAGCTTCTCTGGGCACCCTGTGCCAGCGCCTCAGCACCCTCACAGGGAAGAGCTTCTCCCTAATATCTCATCTCAATCTCCCCTCTTTCAGCTTAAAACCATCACTGAAATCACTGAAAATGAACTGGAGCTCAAAGGGTCGAGGTTGCACTGCATCAATGTAAGAGTTTTCTAAAGGCAAATCAAACCAAACACCCTTTTCCCCCATAAAAGACACACCAGTTCCTTCAGGAGCTGTTATTGGTACTTTCAGTAGCCACTAATTTTTCTGCCTTCCATATGGAAGATTTATATCGCTGCTTCACTGAACCCGCACAAGTAGAACTCATCAGTTTTAACTGAATGCAATCCAGGGATAGCAGCACTGGATTTTCTCAGGGCTTGTCCTGACCAGGAACACACAACAATGGGCAATGGGTGTACCACTGAGTTTGGGTTTTTCCCAACCAGCCTTTAGCAAATTAATGTAAACCTGTGCATCCTGGGGGGTGACAGAACAAGCACCTCTCCATGCCCGTACCCATGCTCCTAGAGCAGCGCAGGGGATCCAGCACCCCAGCCTGAGGCAGAAGATAATGCCAGCAATGGGGACAGTGCTGGGATGGGTGCACGATGGTGATGGAGTCTGCCCTGAGCAGGGCTGGGCTGCAGCTTCATGCAGCTGATTGGGGGTGCCTGTGTACAGGGGGGGCGTGTATGTGTCCCAGGGTGTGTTTGCCTGTCCTGGGGTGTCTGTACCTGTACCTGTCCTGAAGGGATGTACATACCGGTCCTGGGGGCTCTGTACCTGTCCTGGGGTGTCTGTACCTGTCCCAAAGGGATGTACATACCGGTCCTGGGGCTCTGTACCTGTCCTGGGGTGTCTGTACCTGTCCTGAAGGGATGTACATACCGGTCCTGGGGGCTCTGTACCTGTCTTGGGGTGTCTGTACCTGTCCCAAAGGGATGTACTTACCGGTCCTGGGGCCTCTGTACTTGTCTTGGGGTGTCTGTACCTGCCCCAAAGGGATGTACATACCGGTCCTGGGGGCTCTGTACCTGTCTTGGGGTGTCTGTACCTGTACCTGTCCCAAAGGGATGTACATACCGGTCCTGGGGGCTCTGTACCTGTCCCGAAGGGATGTACATACCGGTCCTGGGGGCTCTGTACCTGTCCCGAAGGGATGTACATACCGGTCCTGGGGGCTCCGTACCTGCCCCGAAGGGATGTACATACCGGTTCCAGGGGCTCTGTACCTGCCCCAAAGGGATGTACATACCGGTCCTGGGGGCTCTGTACCTGTTTTGGGGTGTCTGTACCTGTCCCGAAGGGATGTACATACCGGTCCTGGGGGCTCTGTGCCTGCCCCGAAGGGATGTACATACCGGTCCTGGGGGCTCTGTGCCTGCCCCGAAGGGATGTACATACCGGTCCTGGGGGCTCTGTACCTGCCCCGAAGGGATGTACATACCGGTTCCGGGGGCTCTGTACCTGCCCCAAAGGGATGTACATACCGGTCCTGGGGGCTCTGTACCTGTTTTGGGGTGTCTGTACCTGTCCCAAAGGGATGTACATACCGGTCCTGGGGCTCTGTACCTGTCCTGGGGTGTCTGTACCTGTACCTGTCCTGAAGGGATGTACATACCGGTCCTGGGGGCTCTGTACCTGTCTTGGGGTGTCTGTACCTGTACCTGTCCCAAAGGGATGTACCTACCGGTCCTGGGGGCTCTGTACCTGTCCCAAAGGGATGTACATACCGGTCCTGGGGGCTCTGTGCCTGCCCCGAAGGGATGTACATACCGGTCCTGGGGGCTCTGTACCTGCCCCGAAGGGATGTACATACCGGTTCCGGGGGCTCTGTACCTGCCCCAAAGGGATGTACATACCGGTCCTGGGGGCTCTGTACCTGTTTTGGGGTGTCTGTACCTGTCCCAAAGGGATGTACATACCGGTCCTGGGGCTCTGTACCTGTCCTGGGGTGTCTGTACCTGTACCTGTCCTGAAGGGATGTACATACCGGTCCTGGGGGCTCTGTACCTGTCTTGGGGTGTCTGTACCTGTACCTGTCCCAAAGGGATGTACCTACCGGTCCTGGGGGCTCTGTACCTGTCCCAAAGGGATGTACATACCGGTCCTGGGGGCTCTGTACCTGTCCCGAAGGGATGTACATACCGGTCCCGGGGGCTCTGTACCTGCCCCAAAGGGATGTACATACCGGTCCTGGGGGCTCTGTACCTGTTTTGGGGTGTCTGTACCTGTCCCGAAGGGATGTACATACCGGTCCTGGGGGCTCTGTGCCTGCCCCAAAGGGATGTACATACCGGTTCTCGGGGCTCTGTACCTGTTTTGGGGTGTCTGTACCTGCCCCGAAGGGATGTACATACCGGTCCTGGGGGCTCTGTGCCTGCCCCAAAGGGATGTACATACCGGTCCTTGGGCTCTGTACCTGTTTTGGGGTGTCTGTACCTGCCCCGAAGGGATGTACATACCGGTCCTTGGGCTCTGTACCTGTTTTGGGGTGTCTGTACCTGCCCCAAAGGGATGTACATACCGGTCCTGGGGGCTCTGTGCCTGCCCCAAAGGGATGTACATACCGGTCCTTGGGCTCTGTACCTGTTTTGGGGTGTCTGTACCTGCCCCGAAGGGATGTACATACCGGTCCTTGGGCTCTGTACCTGTTTTGGGGTGTCTGTACCTGCCCCAAAGGGATGTACATACCGGTCCTGGGGGCTCTGTACCTGCCCCAAAGGGATGTACTTACCCGTCCCGGGGGCTCTGTACCCACCCCATGGGCTCTGTACCCATCCCGGGCGCTCTGCTCCCCCCTCCCCTCCGCCTCCCCGGCCGGGGGCTGTGCGCAGCGGTGCGGGCCCGTCCCCTGCGCTGCCGGGCGGGAGGCGGGGAGGGCCGTGCCCGGCCCCGCTCCGAGGGCTCCTCCTCCGCCGCCTTTTCCCCGCCGCCGCCGCCCGCTCGGCGCAGCCCAAGGGAGCTCGGGGCGCCGGCGCCCCGGCCATGGCCGTGCCCGCCGCGCTGCTCAGCCCCCATCACCTCCTCTCCTTCTGCTTCCCCGCCGCCGGCGGCCTGCTGGGCTATGCCGACCTGGAGAAGGGCTACGAGGGCGGCGGCGACGCCGCCGGGGACTTTAAAGAAGCCACCAGGGACCTGCTGAGCTTCATCGACTCTGCCTCCAGCAACATCAAGCTGGCGCTGGACAAGCCGGTGAAGTCCAAGCGGAAGGTGAACCACCGCAAGTACCTGCAGAAGCAGATCAAGCGCTGCACCGGCATCATCGCCGCCGCCCCGCCGCCGCCTCCCGCTCCTCCAGCGCCCTCCGCCTCCTCCCCGCCCGCTTCATGCCCCGCTAAGCCCCCGCCGCGCCGGGAGGGCTCGCAGGGAGCCAGCAGCCTCCAGAGCAAGAGCCTGGCCGCGCTCTTCGGGTCGCTGCAGCACGGCCCCGGGCCGGCGGGCGGCGGGGAGGCGGCGGGAGGCGGCGGCGGGGCTGCGGGGGGCGGCGGCGGGGCTGCGGGGGGCGGCCCGCGGAAGGTGCCGCTGCGGGACCGCAACCTGCCCCCTTCCTTCTTCACGGAGCCGGCGCTGCCCGCCGCCGCCCGAGGGCCAGTACCGGGCGCTAAGGAGCCGGAGAAGGGCGGCGGGGATGCGGTTGAGTTCTTCGAGCTGCTCGGCCCCGAGTACAGCGCGCTGCTGCCCGAGCACGCCGCCCCGCAGGACGCCTTCCCCGGCGGCGCGGCCGCCCGCCTGCCCGCCGAGCTGGGCCTGGAGCACGGCCTCTACGACGCGGCGCTGCCGCTGCCCAGCGCCCATCACCCGCTGCTGGGCGGGCTGCTCTACCCCGAGCCCTGGAGCCCGCCCGGGCCGTGCAGCCCCGGCAAGAAGGCGCCGTCTGAAGCGCTGCGCCCGCTGTACCCCGGCGGTGGGGAGCCGGCCCCCGGCGGCGGCAGCGAGGAACCCGGCGGGCACCTTCCGGCGGGGTTCGCTTCCTTCTTCCCCGAGTGCCCGCTGCCCCCGCCGCAGGTGCCCTATGAGTACAGCGCCGGCTTCCACCGCGCCGCCTTCCCCGGGCTGTAGGGCCGCGATGGGGGACGGGGTGGGACGCGGGTCCCGACCCGGAACGACGGCTCCCGCAGGATTCATGCTGCGAGCCGCCTCCCCCTGCGGCTTGGGGCCGCTGCGAGTAAAATGTGAGGTGATGGGTTCCTTTCACAGCGGCCGGTGACCGCCTTCCATCGGGGTCGGGGTTTGTCCGGCTGCAGGCAGACGCGGCTCGGTGTCTGCGGCGTTGCAACGGGGGCAAGCGGTGACTCCTTGTCCGTGATTTCCGTCTCCCAGCTCGGCCACCTCTTGCGGTGCCTTTAGCGTTTTTCCCAGGCTCCCCAGTGCGGGTGGAGGACACAAAGGCGAGGAAAAGAGATGTTCCAGTGAAGCAATGCTGCTACCAAAACTTAAAGAGTCCTGAGGTCGAACAGCGTCTTGCAGGATCTTGCAAACAGCAACTGACAGCGGTGCTGAAGCGATGGTGTACGCTGGGGACAGAACCGCACCGTGCTGCGGGGAAGTGATTCCTACAGACCACTGGATTCCTTCCAGGAACGTGTCAGAGCTCGGAAGGCGCCGCGGCTCGGTCTCACCGTGTACAGGAGATGATTTGATAATCATTTAAGTTATGTAAAAGAGTCTATGATAGGTCCTATAAAAATAAAGCTACACAATAGATCTGGGGTCTGTGATTGTTACTGCCGCTGACACGCAGCGTTCGAGGGGCTCTGTAATGGTTTCTTGGCAGGAGTTTAGACGGGCGGTGGGTTTTGTCTCCCCTGAATTGATCGGAATGCCGCGGTTCATCCGCGGTGCCCTCTGCTTGTTTGTACCGGCTGTTTCTTGAACGTGGTGGAAAGAAAGGAACGCGGCTCAGCTCCAAAGCCAAGGGATAAAAACTGTTACAGTTATGGAAACAGATCAAAATACCCGAGGTTTCCCATTGAGCCGCAGTCCCATGGCCTGGCTCCCTGCCAGTCCCAAATGGATTGTTTGTTTTTGAGACGGGATCCACGCAGGGATCGGGCTGAGGCTTTACCCCCGGCGGTGACAAATCCTTGTGCCTCCTATCTCTTAAAACACGTTGTGAAAGGTAAAACGGTTTTCTTCACTCGTCAACCCAGATTTAATCTCTCAGAGACTTGGGGTCAGGATGATGGGGTGTGTGGAAAGGGGAAGTGAGATTATTGGCAATAAACCATGAAATGATTTGTATCAGGAACTGGCTTAATTTTACTTCTAAACAGCAAGAGCTGTGGTTTCTGCTGTTTCTTTCCTCCCCTAAAGCTGCCGAAAGTCTCCACAAGCTGCTTGGGAAGGACCCACTGTGGATGAACGTCCGCAGCATCCCAGTGTCCAACAGTTAACACTGTTAAGGAAGCGCACTTCTCTAAGCTTCAGGAGAGCCTGTATGAGGATCAGTGGGTGGCAGGTCCAGCCAGGGTAGCCTAAAATGAGGTTAATCCTGCCCTGCTGCTGGTTTTGGTGCAGGGACAATGTCCCGTTGTCCATCATGTTGGCAAACCTACCCATGAAGAGTGCATGTGCTCACTGTCACGAGCAGCGCTCTGGTGGGTCCAAGCAGAACCTGTGTGTAACTGCATTGAGAATCAATAGACAAGACCAAACTGGAGGTTATTTCGTGTGCAGAGGTGGTGCTTTTGAGTTTAGGATCTGCTTCAAGCATGTGAATGTATAGCACATGCTGGTGGGTGCTTGGAGTACTTCAGCTCGGTGGTGCTGCACTAATGTAATCAATCCTTCTTTCACTTAGGATTTCACTGAGCAAGTTATTTCCTTCACAAGCTCAATATGCCAGTGTCTGTTAATGAAGGATCTAATCCTGAAGACCTTCCAGCCTATCCTGTCAGCTGTCCCACTGGGACATGGGGATCTTGCTCAAAAGAAAGTCTAAAATACCTGGAAATACTCAAGGCCAGGTTGGAAGGGGCTTGGAGCAAGCTGCTGTAGTGGAAGGTGTCCCTGCCCGTGGCAGGGGTTGGAACTGCCTGAGCTTTAAGGTCCCTTCCAACCCAAACCACTCTGTGATTCTATGACAAAACAGATTCTCTCCTGGCCCACAGGCCTTACCTTTTTATTCCAAGTAGTTGTGAAGTGCCACAAATCTGACCTGCTGGTGGTTTTCACCCATTTGGTGCTCTGCTTCCTTGTACTGTGGTGCTTTTCCTTACCTGGGATCTTCCTTACCTGTGGTGCTCAGGAGTTGAGCATCATCACCCTGCTGGTGTTAGATCTTGCCTCAAACCAGTGTGAGAAGCAGCTCTGAGGGTATCAGCAGAGCTGGGCTGGTGTAGAACTCCTGTGGCAGCCAGCTCCAGATGCTGCCAGCTCGGGGGGGTTCTCCTTGGGCTTGCAAGAAGCTTGGGGCAGGCTCCAGGAGCTGCTCTGTTGGCTGAGCAGCAGCTGCAGATGTTGCTTCAGCTCTGCAATAGCTCCTGAAGAAGGGATTTTCAGTTTATAGGAGCTTACACTGAGGAAAATGAAGGAACAGTAAATCAGCATCAGTGTTCTTGGGAGTACGGCTGTGTTTGTGCCACAGGATGCATGTGAGGAGCGCCTGTGTTGGGATGCTGGGTAAGGCTGGGAAGGAGCTACCACCACCCGGGCTGATCCGTGCTGCTTTACCCACCACACAGCCCATACAAAGGACTTGTGTGAGCTCCCGGGGAGTGCTTGGAGCTGCTCCCTGTGCTGCAGGGGGGCCAGGGCGTCCCTACCAGACCAGGGGATGCCATCGAGCCAGCTGCATCTGTTATCTGCTTTGTGCATGTGTGGGCTCTTTTTGTTGTGGTTGTTTCCCCCAGGCACTGCAAATGTCACAGGAGACTGGCACCCTTGGGGAACTGTTCTCAACACCGAGGAGCATCATCTGTAGGAATAAAACCTTTTGTAATCGAGATATTTTGGTTCATCTGCTGTGTGCTTTTACAAGGGCTCTGTCCCGAGGAACCGAGGCTTGATCCGTTTTAGCTTTTCTGTCTTAAAAGAAATGTGTCCCTTTGAATAGAAGTGGGTTGTGTTTGGTTGGACTATCAAGGTCAGGCTATCAAACGACTTTGTTTTCAAAGCATGCAGTGAGTTTCCTCAGATACACTGAATTCTGCTTTGTTGCTGTTTTTACACATATTGTCTGATTTAACAGATTTTGGTGGAAAAACATACAATCTTAGTAGTTTTTCATATAAAGATGTGATAAAGGGGAATGACAAGAACCCTTCATTCCCTTTTTAAGTGATGGAATCTCACCTTTCCTCAATGCTGATTTACTGATGAACAACAAAGGATTCACCACAAACAGTGGTTCCTGTCTCAGTATTCTGTTACTTAAATGGTCTGGGTTTTGTCCAAAGCTGCTTCAAGAAAGCAGAGAGATTCCTTTATTTTAATGGATGGGCTTTTGAAACACACTCACCAACTACTGACTGTTGGGGCTGTTCAGCCTGGAGAAGAGAAGGCTGCGTGGAGACCTCATAGCAGTCTCCAGTATCTGAAGGGAGCCTATAGGGATGCTGGGGAGGGACTCTTCATTAGGGACTGTAGTGATAGGACAAGGGGTAACAGGTTCAAACTTAACAGGGAAAGTTTAGATTTGATATAAGGAAGAAGTTTTTTACTGTGAGGGTGGTGAGGCACTGCAATGAGTTGCCCAGGGAAGCTGTGAATGCTCCATCCCTGGCAGTGTTCAAGGCCAGGTTGGACAGAGCCTTGGGTGAGATGGTTTAGTGTGAGGTGTCCCTGCCCATGGCAGGGGGGTTGGAACTGGATGATCTTAAGGTCCTTTCCAACCCTAACCATTCTATGATTCTATGACTGACCTGAGCTTGGGATTGCTCTCACATAGCCTGACCATCGGCGATGGGTCATCTTTGATGAGCTTACGTAGTTGTCCAAACACTGTCAGTAAAAAAGATGCAGAAGTTTCTTGTAACCTCCTTTTGTTTGGTCCTTTTGAATAAACTGCTTCTGGCACCAGTGCAAAACCTGAAGGTCATCCTGCAGTTCCTGGCAGCCGGAGGGAAAAGGTGGTGGAGCGGTTCTGTAGCGATGTGCAGGCAGTTAGGTTGGAAATGTGAGAGTGCACAAATCTGACTGCATGAAATGAGAGCTGGGAATGCTTTCAGGCTAGCTTTATGTCAACAGAAGAGACTGCAGCTGCTTTCTATTCAATGAACTCATCTTTTTTAAGATTGGTAAATGCTTGTTTAAAATCCAATGGGTTTTGTTGCATGTCTACATACAAGAGTAAAGATAGAGTGTGCAATTAATAGAGAATAATATTAAAGAGCAATGATAGAGTGCATTACATGGGGCCTACAAGAATACTGGAGAGGTAATTTTTACAAGGTCAACTGAGGACAGGACAAGGGGAATGGCTTTAACCTGCCAGAGGGGAGACTGAGATGAGCTCTTAGGCAGAAGCTCTTCCCTGAGGGGGTGCTGAGGCACTGGCACAGGGTGCCCAGAGAAGCTGTGGCTGCCCCATCCCTGGCAGTGTTCAAGGCCAGGTTGGACACAGGGGCTTGGAGCAAGCTGCTCTAGTGTGAGCTTTAAGGTCCCTTCCAACACAACCCAGTCTGGGATTCTGTAATTACAGTTCCCCCCCTCTCCCCACATCTGTGTGGGTACAGCTTGGCAGAGGATTGCTGAAAGGTGCTATGAAAGGTGAGAGGAGAGCTTGTTTTCTGTGTTACAGTATTTTCCAATACCTCACTTTAACCTGGATCATCCCTGGTGACTCCCCTTCCTCACTGGTAGGGAACTACATCACTAGACCAGCCTTTTGTGCTTTCTGGACCCCTCCTTATCAAATGTAAATATACTGACAAAGCATCATTTTCCAAGGTTATTTTGGTTGTAGTCCACAGACCCACAGTTAGAACCCCAGAATCACAGAATAGCTAGGACTGGAAAGGACCTTAAGATTATCCAGTTCCAATCCCCCTGCCATGCACAGGGACACTTCACACTAAACCATGTCACTCAAGGCTCTGTCCAACCTGGCCTTGAACACTGCCACGAATGGAGCATTCACAACTTCCTTGGGCAACCCATTCCAGTGCCTCAGCACCCTAACAGTAAAGAATTTCCTCCTTATAGCCAATCTAAACTTCCTTTGTTTCAGTTTTAACCCGTTACCCCTTGTCCTATTACTACAGTCCCTAATGAAGAGTCCCTCTCCAGCATCCCTATAGGCCCCCTTCAGATACTGGAAGGCTGCTAGGAGGTCTCCACGCAGCCTTCTCTTCTCCAGGCTGAACAGCCCCAACTTCCTCAGCCTGTCTTCATATGGGAGGTGCTCCAGTCCCCTGATCATCCTCGTGGCCCTTCTCTGGACTTGTTCCAACAGTTCCATGTCCTTTTTATGTTGAGGACACCAGAACTGCACACAATGCTCCAGGTGAGGTCTCACAAGAGCAGAGCAGAGGGGCAGGATCACCTCCTTCGACCTGCTGGTCACGCTCCTTTTGATGCAGCCCAGGATACGGTTGGCTTTCTGGGCTGCAAGCGCAAACTGAAGCCGGCTCAGGTTCATCTTCTCATTGACCAGTTGCCCAGGGATCACAGACTCAACATCACTGCATTGCTGTCCATAGAAAACATCTTTAACTGCTTGAATTGGCAGGCATAGATTGGATGAATATGCAACATTTCTTGAATGAT